TTGATTGATTTACTTGCAAAGTTACTTTTTCTGTTGAATATAACCAATATGATTAATGTGTAGTTAATATTGATGGATTGATGTAGATTGACAATGATCTGGATATTTTAATTTTTGAGCATCAGTAGTTGCTTTCTATTTATATCAAAATGTAGATAATTTTTATTTATGATGTCATGACTCAGTTGAATGAATGTTCTTTTTTAGTCTGATAAGTGAGACTCAACTGAACTTTTATCTATAATCTAAATAAGCTCGAGACTGTATACTTGAATCTTGTTAATTTACATTGAAAGTGAGATTATGAACCTGTGTTGCTATGTTATAACTTTGTGATCAAAGTAAACAAGTAATGACATCATTATCTAAGTATACAATATGTATACTTCTTGTAAAATCTTGTAACTTTAGGCTTAGTATCACTTAATACAAAGTACAAAAAGAGTGTAAATGAGAGAGAACGAAAAAAAAGAAGAAAGGAAAAAAGAAATATTTCAAAAATAGCTTTTATAAAATCTTGAAAATTTAGATTAAATTTTTCATTATTTATCTTGTGGACAAATACCAATTTTTCCATTTCTTCTAAAAGTATTAAAATATTAAATAAAGTTTACTTTCTATTAATCGAAGATAATATTACCAATTTACACTTCCGAAGCTTAATTAAACCTTAATAGTCTTCCCATTAAACTGCTGATCAAATTTTCCTTGAAAGAAAATCACTGCTGAGTTTATTAAGGTAGATAAAGCAAATTTCATGAAAAAAATTTTTTTTCATTTAATTTGCTGTCTGCTTAAACATTTCATTGTTGAATCTATTATTTATTAAAAAAGAATACCTAATAGTGGTGTATTTTATATTTAATTCTTTTCTCTATCTATTTAGAAAATTACCTTTGATTTTTATTTATTACAGTGATGCTTGAAGATCAAGAAATCTAGATTACTGTTGATATTCTATATATTAATATATCAATATTAACCATATGAGATCAATAATATTGTCAGTAATTATTGATACTGACATGGTGTTTTCCAAGTAAGGGTAGCAGCACATACTCTTGCATAACACATAACGCATAAGAAAATCAACCAATTAGAATCTTTATTTTTAATGGAAAAAAAAGAAATAAAGGACTTTGATTGGTTAATTTTCTTATGCATTACATATTATGTGTTATGCAAGACTGTGTTCCCATTCCAATACAGTATAACATAGTAATCGTTTCATCTTTGTTTAACATTGGCAAACAAAAACCTTACTGTGTTATCTGTGTCTCTTACTGGAAAACATCCATGTAAAGGATGTGTAAAAAAAAGCGCGTATAAATGAATAAAGTTACGTCAATAAAGTTACGCAATTATGTAAAAACTGAACTGAGAACATGGTCAATAATGCTGATGCATATAAGGTTGTTAAAATATTAATATCAATTAGTATTACTAATTTAAGAATATTTCTTGATCAATATTATTGATTGTGTAATATATACTAAATTAGTGTATACTATTATAAAAATTGCTATATATGAAGTTAGCAAAGTTAAATATAAATGTCATAAATAATTAAATATCCAATAATTTTTAATAGAATATACATGTATTATCACCGTCAAAGTTGATTATATTGTGCCATTGCATTTAGATATTTTATATATAGCAGCCTCTTTAATGTGCACTAATTCAATGTAATGCAAATAACCGAATTTACTATAAATTATAAATCATTGCTAAGTTGAAAAATTTTTATCACTTATATTTTCTTTTCCTAAAAGCTCCTCGCGCACGATAAAACGCAAGAAATTTGACGATGAAGTCGTGGAAACAACGTTCAATCTACAACCGCCTCCTACAAGCGCCAAGTCAACGTCGAAATCACGAACGATTTCGGTAACCGCCGGCCCTATGGACGTCTTGCCGACGCAGACGTTACCAACTCCGATACCCATTCCGACCACCTTGGTACAGTCGGATAGATGCAATCGTAGACCCAGCAGACCAAGCGGTTCAAATCCCGGACGAAAGAATAAGAAGAGTAAAAATCATTCTCATTCGTTCAACGCCACCAAAGATCTCGGTCGATGGAAACCCGCTGACGACTTGGCGTTAATTACTGGCGTACAACAGACAAATGATTTGAGGATGGTATGTATCTAATTTGTTTTTATCTTCTTTTTGCTTCTAATTGTGCCAGTAATCATGAAAGTGGTCTAAATAAAAAATCGAAACATAATGAATTAATTCCGCATTTTGTATAATTAAATTGTAATTATACAAAATACGGGATAAATTAATTTTTTTACTTAGACTACTTGCATAATTACGGGCACAATTGTTTTTTTTTTTTTTTTGAGATACTGATAAGAAAAAATATATATTTTTAATATCCTTATTGTCTGTTTAAGGTCCATCGAGGTACAAAATTTTCCTGTCGTTTCACACTGCAGGAAATACAGCAAAGATGGTATGCGTTATTATATGACAGTGCAGTTTCGCGTGTAGCTGTGCAGGCTATGCGTAATTTGCATCCTGAACTAATAGCCACTATTCAAGCAAGAACTTTATATAGCAAAGCAGAAGAGGACCTATTAGGCACTATTAAATCGGTGGGTATTATTAGATTCTTATGACACATGATGCGTGGTAAATTACTAAGAATTCTACGTTCTGTGTAATGTAATTCTAGTAATTCATTAAAATACAAGTTATCCAGTAGGAAAACACGCATCGTGTGTCGCAGGCTTTAGTGACAAATGTTTTCATAAAAAATACAAATATAACTCATGAGTTAGTTACTGATGCTTGTCTTCATCAATGTAGACTAATTTTAATCTCAATTCAATTTATTTTTTATCTTTTTCTAGTTTTAAGAATAAAAAAAGAATAAATTAAATCAAGATTAAAGTTGATGTATATTGATGGAAATGAGTTAGTCTTTTTTTTAATAACTGTATTATAAGTATGTGATTTTTTTTATTTTATCTCGTCAGACTTCTCAACCAACATTGGAAGTATTTCAAGAATTACTTGAAGCAAATGCACATACGTTTTATCCAGCTAGGACTGCGAAAGCGTTACACAGCCATTGGCAATTGATGAAACAATATCACCTATTGCCAGATCAGACAGTGCAAAGTTTACCACGAGGTGAACACGTGTTAAGTTTTTCGGATGCTGAAGATATGATTAACGATACCGAATTAATGGAACCGAAAGATGAATTAGTGGACACTGAATTGGCAACGGCGGACAGAAAAAACAAGAAAGAAATTAAAGTATTGGAAAATGAACTTGGTAGATGGCAGGTACTTGTCGACAGCGTAACAGGCATCAATCCTCCAGAATTTGATAATCAAACCTTAGCCATTTTAAGAGGAAGACTTGTCCGATATCTTATGAGATCTAGAGAGGTAAGAGACAAGCATAGGGTTATTTTATAATAATTTATATATATATAATAAGTTATTGCTTTATTTTAAAAAATTTACATCTCTTCTATATCTTTGTTCAGATAAGTGTGGGACGTTCTACAAAAGATCATACTGTCGACGTGGATCTTGGTTTAGAAGGTCCAGCGTGGAAAGTTTCGCGGCGACAAGGTACCATCCGTTTAAGGAATAATGGAGACTTCTTTCTGTCGTCCGAAGGAAAACGGCCGATTTTTGTAGATAGCAGACCAATTTTGGCTGGCAATAAGATGAAATTGAATAACAATAGTGTAATTGAGGTAATTATTACAAAAATTTTTACGTAATTATAATTATTGCATAAAGCATAACAGATTTAATTGGAGTACTTTTCTTAATTGGAGTAAATAATAATTTTTTTTTAAGTAGAAAGTTTTTAATTGCACTGCATACATTTTTTTTACAGATTGCAGGACTGAGGTTCACATTTTTAATAAACCAAGAACTCATCTCTGTGATACGACAAGAAGCTGTCAAATTAAATTTAAACCCTTAAAAAAATATCAAAAAAAAAGAAAGACAATATCAAGTGTTTTAGTAATTAGAAAAATGCTTTTTTTTACACTAATCTATTTTTTATTTGAGAATAGCAAATACATACTTTGTGGAGCATAGATCTTTATCAATACTTTTTATAATTCATTTATTTATGGCTAATCCTTAAAGCATCTTTTTTTTTTATAATAAAAAGTTGTTCCTCTCTTAGAGCTCATCAAATAAGAATGTAAGAAATTTTAGGCATTCATGTATATATTCTCTTTGGATAGGCAACAGATTTTCCTATTTTTATGCAAATAATGTTTTAAAATCCACTCATAGCCTCAATAATAGTAAATTCAAAGTAACAGTAAGGATAGATACTTAGTCTAAACTTAAGTACAAGCAATAACACATATTGTACATACTTTTAATATAAATTATAAATTATTACATAAACTGCCATCTGTGTATCCCTTCAATAAATTAGATTTGTGTAAAATTAGACATTTCTAATGTATAGAAAATGTTTGAATATTTTATACACATTCTATAAATCGCAAAAATTTGTGAAACTGATACATTATGTACACGTCTGGAGAATGCAAGTATAAAAAAAGGACATCAAAATTTTATCGAATATTCAGAAAGCGAGATAATTTCTATACATACAAGAGACACGTTCGAGTCATTAGTATGTATGTCAAAATCAGGTTTCAGCAGAAACCTCGTTCTATCTTAGTACCTCATAACGAGGTTTTTGTGCCTGTGACTTCGTCGCGACGAGTCACGAGTCAACAGCACTCGCGTAACTATATTAAGCGAGGCGTAAAGCGCATAAGGCGATTAGCATCGTATTTTTACGAGTATTCGCTGCACGTATGCAGTTCCAAGTGCGAAAAAACAGGTGGACACGCGCGCGCATGCACACACGTGCATGTACACAACCTACACGCGATAACGAACGGAGCAAAGTGCGCGCCTCCATCGCAGAGGGCGCTCGTGTGTTTATCGTCTTTTTTTCCCGCACGGCGCAACTGGCGCAAGCAGCCGTGTCCAATATGGCGTGTGTGTTGTGAGCGATGTTAATGTGCAGGTAAGTTCTGGAGCGTGAATTTCACCCCCGCGAGACACCATCCGCGGCAGATCTCGACGATCTAGCTCACGCATCCTCGTTTTCGTTGTCGTCATCGTCGTCGTCGTCATCGCGGTGATCATGTGCGTTCAACGCGAGCGATGATGAGCGACAGCTCGTCACGACGGGACCTGCGTGCGTATGAGTGTATGTGCGTGCGTGTGTTTGTCAGTTGTGTTGTACCTTCAAGGCCCCGTGTGTGGCAAGGTGCGCGTTTCTTGCAATAACTCCGCATGTAAATCCGCGTATCACGGATCACGGCAGCACGCTCGGTGCTCCGCGACGACGAGGCGTTGTGTCGCGAGGCGAACGTAAACACATACTCGCGCCGCGGGGCCTGGGGGTAGGGTGACCAACAATGGCTTACAACCTCGGTAAATATGGTGTCACCTGTTAGTGCGCGCTCCAGCGCCGAGGCGTGAGGCACGGTCGTAAGTGCTCGGTCAAGCTCCAACCCGCGGTTTGACAGCTCGGTTCTTTTGCTCCAGTTTTGCGTAGCGGAACTATCCGTTGAATATTTATTTCCTTCATTTACATTCCAATGATGGAGCACGCACGACCCATGCTTGCGAGGCGCATATATGCGTATGTGCATACGTGTACGTGCATGTGCGGGGGTTTATATGCCAAACATGTCAAAGAAGTATCTAGGTATATACCTGTGTTATGCGTTCTAAACCCTTTGCGATCGAGGTGGATATAACAATGCTACTATTTTTCCAATAAATAAAGCAATGTGTACTCATAATCGCAAACTAACGTTCTTTGGTATTCGTAGTCTGTTCTTTTACAGAGACCGTTTCAAGTAATGTCTTAAAGTGTACTAATATAGCTCTATGACCTGTATAATCTTAAGATGTCATAAGGTACTCATAATCGATTTTTATGGGTTTTCTATAATAAGTTATTACTTAAGTTTTAAGTCTTAAGTTGTAAGAAATTAACCAATCACAATCGAATGTGAGAAGAATAATCTATGATTGATCCTGTTTCTTACAGCTTAAGATTTAAAGCTTAGATTGTAATGGATGAACCCATTTAAGAATTTTACAACAGTTGCAAAGCTGCTTTTTCTGCTGAACGCAGCCAATGATTTGTTGTCCATAAAAAGCTCATTATGTATAAAACTGTCTTAAGTATAGTCTTAAGATATCATGAACCAATTAAAGGACAGTATTTATAGTTCTTATCTTAAAATTATTTTTAAGATACTAATTAATATCTTAATATGCTAATAGGACCCTTGAATTGGCTTATGGCATCTTAAGACTGTCTAAAATATAAGAATCGATTATAAGCACTGATCAGAGAGTCACATTAGTATCTTAAGACATTACTTAAGACAGTCTTAAAATAAAAATGGACTATATACTATAAATGCCAGTCTGTGGCTTATGGCATCTGAAGAGTGTATTTAAGATAATTTTAAATATAAAAATCAATTATAAGTATCAGCCTTATAAGTTCTGATTAATAATAAAAAATCAGGCTGATATTCATAGTCGTTTCTTATTTTAAAATTATCTTAAGTAATATCTTAAGATACTAATGCAGCTGTTTGATTGTAGTTCATAATATTTTAATATTGTGCGTAAGATAATTTTAAATATGAGAAACTATAAATACCAGCCATAGTCATGTTACTTGGATTAGATTAAAGTGAGGATGAAATATTTGATCTTTGCTTGTTAGTGAGAAATAATTTGGACTAAAGAGATAATGTGTTCCTTGTATCTTAGAGTTCATCAAACTTGTGTTACGTATTATAATCCCTTTGTGATCGTTGAGGTGAATATAACACTGTAGTCCTCTAAATAAAAAGCGTGTAATTTATAATAATCTTAGTCACAAATATATTCTAAATTCTTCGACTTTTCATTAATAATAAAAATTCATTGTTATGAATTTTTGTGTCCTGAATTCAAGCTGTTTTATTTACTCAAATAAGGATAATTATTTTTATATCCAGTGCTAGAAATGTAGCGATATAAAAAGAATATGTTTATTTTAGAAATAATTTTATTCAATTGGACAGACATGATGAGAAACGTTTACATTTATTAAACAATTACAATAATGTTACATATAAAGTATGTTTTTATTGTTACACATGACTGCACTAATATTTTCCTTCTTACTTTAGTCAAATATCAAACATATTTATTTCACTTTAAGTGCAAAAAGTGTACATTAGTTCAATCATAAAAAGTAGATCTATAATTTTTGCGTAACTGTGTAACTGTTACAAATACATTGTAACAAATAACGTCTAGTCTTTTCTGCTTAGGTAATCTCCTGCTCTTAATACTTGGACAGATCTCGATGAATAAGGAGAACGATGTAATCACAGCAAAATAATAGCAAAACAATGTACAATGAACTACAGTGGAAATATGCCAGATTGGCATCAGTATAATCCTCCGCAATCAGGAATAAACGATGTAACATCGACCGCTCAAAATGTCAATTCGGGACACTTATCGTTTATCTCCAGTATTAGTCCGACCTGCCCGACGCAGTTGAATGGCCTGAATCTCAGCTCGGAGGGACTCGAGAAACACCAAAACGACTCCAATTTTAATCCGAGGCACTTTCAGCCGCATCTATCGAGCAACATCTCGCACGGTCACAATGCCACTGACAACAATCCCCTCGCGTCGATGGTGCAGATGCAGAATTGCATTGGCCACTACGGGCCTTCGAATACGAGAAATCCCATGGTGGACAATCTGAATGGTCCTATGGATCCGAGGAATACCGCGATAGGCGGTATAAATGAAGAGCTAGGCTATAGAAATAATCAGGTGCCTTTAAATGGGCCTATCTCGCATCTAAATGGACCAAATGTGATGAATATGAATGCACCGCATGCCTCAATGGGATCACGAAACACCAACGTGAATTCGCATGCTGCTAGTAGGACGGGTCCTCCGCCGTCCTTCGTTCCCTGCAAGGGTTTGTGCTGCAATCCGGATCCTAACATAAGTTACCAGCAGTACTGCTCTTATCCGAATAATGCGACTTACAGGGAGAATATTCGCACGTCCACCGGATACCAAACGGACACTCGACGATTCGGAAACGATTATAATTTTAGGAAGGACAATTTTGACGGCAAGGAGGTTCTATCGCCTATGGTACCACCGCCTAATGGGCCTAACGCCGATCACCGGAGGAACTTTTCCGATTTTAAATATCGCAAAGATCGCCTGATTTCCCGCAATTATCCATCATCCTCGAGCATGTTGCCGAACTATCCTATGCAAAACTACAACTATACGGGAGAGTACCAGAAGTATCCTTACAATGTCAAAGAGTACTCCAAAATGAGCAGCATGAACGTGCCGAATCAGGGGATGGTTAAACATCCGGAACAAGGCTTCGCGATGCCCCAGCAGAAGTATAACAACAAACAAGTGCCGTATCAAACCGGCGGCGCTATGATATCAACCAACATGCCGTCCACGAGTGTTCCGAATCTGAGTATGATGCCACCTGCTCAGAATACTTATTTCAATTCGCAGTACCCGAGGAATCTATCGACAGACGCTTCGCATGATTGTCAGGAGGCCGCCGACAATGCATCCATGGTGAACAGAATGCAAACGTCTACGACTATGCACACTCCCTCTCATTCACGGACCTCATATCAACAGACGTATCAACACAG